TTCAGACCCTTCTCGATAATGTAGCAGGCTACGAAGTCAAAGGCCATGATGCTTGTGATCATAATCTTGAAGTCGGTGGTGAAGGGGACGAGCTTGAGCTTCTCGTTGAGTTCGGGGATAAACTCGGTGGCGCAGGAGAAGGCGACACCGGAGACGGAGACGAGACCCCAGTACATTCCCTTGTTCTCGCGGATGGACTCGCGGAAAGGTCGGCCTTGGTAGTTGATAGCGAAGGTGGAGATTTGCTGGATGAGTTGCAGGAGGTAGATCGCAGAGTTGAGCAGAGATGGCTCAAAGTCCTTCTCTAAATCTGGGTTGGGGTCCTTAGGCTCGACGCGCTGGACGTATTGGCTGACATAGATGAGGGTGATGATGTGGATAGCGAACTGTCCGAGTACGGAGCCGATGATGTACGTGTTGAAGATGTTGTGTTGAGGACGTTCTTTCGACAGCGTCTCGACAGTCTTTGCGCGCGAGATGGACAGGAAGCATACGCTCATCATCATACCGGAAATGGTAACCTGACCGTCACCGAACTTGATACCATCCAGGTAGAGGACTGACAAACTGTAGGCGGAGATCAAGCAGTTGAGAGCAAGAATCTTGTACATCTGGATTGTAGCGACGAGTGTGCAGCGGCCTTGGCGGATAATGTTGGGAATGGCAACGACGTTGGCGAGCTTAGAGGTGAAGGGCGCAGCGACGGAGGCATCACCAAGCTTGATGGTCGGGGGCTCACCGGCCAACTCTTCCATCTCTTGTGCCATCATCTTCTCTTGCATTTGTTGAGCGAAGTTGGCGGCGGCCTGAGGAGGCTGAACTTGGCCAGGCTGCTGTTGAACGAGGGTACCGGCAGATGCCGATCCATTTGCGACGCCGTTGGCTCCTGGGAGTAGACCCTTCCTCTTCGCTTGGTTCTCCATAGCCTTCTCATAGTGAGGGTTGGTCGGACCAGGTGGGTAGAGATGCGCGATCATGATCGGAACAGGCGGCTGGGGCTGGTTGAATCGTGTCATGAGGTTGCACTGCTTCTCGTAGACGTTCTTCATCTGAGTGTTGCGGAAGTGCTCGCCAATCTTATCAAGATCCTCGCGAGTACCGTTGAGAAGAGCAACACCAATGTGAGCCTGCTTCAGCGCACCAACATCGTTGGTACCGTCACCAGCCATGAGTGTAGTGTAACCACAGTCCTTGAGGCCAAGAAGGATTTCCTCCTTCTGCTTTGGCGAGACTCGAGCGTAGACCCAGGTGTAACGGAGAATCTGCTTCCATCCCGGCTGGCCAGCGAACTTCGAAAGTGCGTATCCGGTAAGACAGATGTCCTTCGACTTGAGAATCTCGGCATCCAGGGGCTTGGTAGGATCGACGGGAATGCTGACCTTGTCGTCAACGCTGCGCCAGACAAGCTTCTCGCCGGACTCGTCGTTCTCAGGTGCGTCAAGGATGTAACAATCGCGGTCGACGATCTCGACCTGCTTGGCGACATGGACAGCGGTCAACGGGTTGTCACCAGTGATCATGACAACACGATGGCTGGACTCGTTGAGGGAGCGGACAGCCTCAACAGCGTCAGGCTTGAGAGGGCACTGGAGGACGAGGAAACCGGCAAAGTGCAAGTCAGACTCGACTTGCTCACGCTTGAGGTCGTTGATGCGGTTCTGGCCCCACTCTCCCTCTTCGGAGATGAACTTGTATGCGAGGGCGAGGACACGGCCACCATTACGGGTGAAGTGCTTGAACGTCTCCTCGTAGTTTGGCGGGGTGTTGACCAACATCTTGCGAATAGTCTCGGGCGCGCCCTTGACTGCAGCGATTGTGCTCTTGACCTTGCGGCCAGTCTTGGTGTTGTTGACGATGACGGTAGCGACGGAGCTCTGGCGTTTCAGAGCGGACGAGAATTGGAAGCGGCGGCGGATGTGTACGAGTTCGGCTTGGGATTTGGGGGTAGTCATGGTGGCTTGGAGTGTGTCCTTCGCTCCGAGTTTCCAGCCGAGAGACTGGAGGGTTGCCTTCTCCATAGGCTCTCCAACAGTCTCACCATCGTCGAGTTTGACCAAGGCGTGGGCAGCGGCAAGTACCAGTGTTGTCTCAGTAGCGACGTCCGTAACCTTTGCGAGATCAGTGTGTGCACCATCTGCTGCAACTGTAGCTCCATCTTGTCCCAATGATAGTCCGGCAATACCGTCCACGACCAAGTCTTCACCAGTCAGAGTGCCGGTCTTATCGAAGCAGGCAACGTCGACCTGCCCAGCGAAGGGAATACGGAAGGGCTCGGTACAGAAGATGGCGTACTTGCTCAGAGCAGCGAGGGAAGTGTTGACGGCCAAGCTGAGCTCCATGGGAAGCTCGGGAGGGACGACGCTGGTAACGATGAGGACGCAGTCGAGGAGCAGCTTGTTACGCTGACGATCGAGCCTGACACCCTCCTGCCAGACGTACCAGGAGGCAGCGACGGCGAAGACGGTAAGGAAGAGAATGAAGAAGAGAGCTTCGACGTTGTTGGCGGAGACGCGCTCGGTAGCGAAGATCATGGTCCTGACGAGGCTGCCCTGGTTAGTCTCGAAGCCAGTCTTGATAACTACGGCAACAGCGCCCTTGTCCGGTGGCGGAGGGACACCGGACGAAAGCCTAGTGACGTTGCCGCCATCCTCCTCAGCGTCGCTGCCGTGCGAGACCTGGAGCACCTTGGTGCCGCCCCAGAGGAACGAGTTCTTGTCTAGACCCTCAGGCTCGATGCGCGCATCGCCAGGTCGCAGTTGTACGGATTCCTTGAGCACCGGTGTGCTCTCTCCGGAAAGCATAGCCTCGTTGACAATCGCGGAGCCCTCGAGGAGGAGCATGTCGCATGCCACACCAGAGTCTTCCTTGGTCCGGCCTGCGCTGACGACATCGCCGGGGAGCAGCTTGTCGCTCATGATCTCCTGCCACTTCTTCTGCCTGTATACCAGAATCTCGTAGGGCTTGATGCTCATGCCGCGGAACTCGTTCAGGGTCCTCTGTCTCTGCCACACAACGGTGCTCTCGAAAGCGACCAGCATGAACAGCGTGAACAACGAGTAGTACCAGTATTCGTCCAACATCCACAGTCCAACGCAGAAGATCTGGAAGACGAAGAAGGGCGCGACGGCGTGTTCCTTGAACAGCTCGGTGAAGGTCGGGACGGGGATATCGAACGCGTTGTCGCCATAGTGCTGGGTGAGGCGCTCAATCTCGGCGGGCGAGGTGAGGCCCTGCGTCTGCTGGAACGTCTTGAGCTGAGGCTTGGGTTCGATGTCGAGGGGGTAGGACAGCGGGGCGAAAGAACCTTTGTCGGCGTCGTAGAGGAAACGGCGCTTCTGGAAGAGGAAGGAAAGGTTCGACTTTCCGCCCACGTTGTCGCGCACCAATGGCACAATCTCAGCGGCACCCGCGTTCTTGACGGGCTGCACTTTGATAAGCGATGCCGAGCGCACGTCGCTGGCCGAGGTGGTGGTGAAGGCGCTCTTGAGGTTGACGTTCCAGTGCGTCATCAGCCAGAAGAGCGACTGGAAGGTGGTGATGCTGGCGACCCAGACAAAGGTCCATTCCGACGACTGGATGTACTGCTCGTAGCGCTGCGGCGAAAAGTATATGGCGGAGAAGGCGGGCCACACTATCAGGAAGGGCCAGATGTACGTGTGCAGCTGCAGCGGCAGCGGGTTGTGCAGGCTGGCCTGCTTGATCTGGGGGTTGTCGACAAGCGGGGCCATGGTTGTGGTTGTCGTGTCCAGACGAACGTCAGTCCTCGAAGATTATTGAGACCCTTTGCCTTCGCGCCCGCCGCCGTCGGCGCTACTTTGCCCGATGCACGTGGCGGAACATTCACGAACACGGATTGAAAGCGGATTAGCGTCCGCCGTGATTGGTCCGTCTGCTGAACTCCTTCATCTCAACATTCTGTCTTCACCTCAGACGGCTTTAATCTCTTTGTTCTACATCATCTATCGAACAATGAAGGGTACAGAGTGGTCGCAGGAAACCCCGCCAACGACCCTCTGCAAAGCGCCGGCCCTCGCATCCGCATCACCTCTGCCCAGATAGCATCCATCCAATCTTCGAAAAATGTATCCGTCCATGCGACATGCCGCATTTCATACTCAAGATGCCGTCTACTTCTAATCTGCCTCTTTTCACACAGTTCTGATAGCTGCGCGATCCACCACATGCGCTCTTCGCCTGTGGCGACACAACTCGCAACGAAGAGAACCCAAAGCAAGGTGTTGAGATTCTTCTCTTGTATCCATGTTTCTAACAGCGGTGCATTCGGTCGATCCAAAGCGGCACGTAATCGAGAAAGAAGGATAGCAAAGATCTTCGTGTTCAGTGGTAGTGCACGAAGTACTGCGTACACGAAGATGAGGGCTGCTGCAAGTAGAGCCTCAACTACACTCGCCGCATCAGCTCTAGCCTTGAGATAATCGTAGTAGTTGCTTTGTTCATCATGGATGCTCTGGTCAAAGTACAAGAAGTCTTGTGAGTGATCAGGCACTGAGAGAATCATGAACTGCGTTTCGTAGAGGAGATTGCTGAGAGTGAGGCGCTCGACACGACCAACCCAGTGCGACGATACTGCTAGCGCGAGTCGATGGAGTCGATAGAATATGTTGAAGCAGTCGACCGCGCCGCAAGAAAGTCGGAGCAGTGACGTGGGCGAGGTTTGTGCCGCTTCTTCTCCAAACTCGTCTGGCAAAGGAGGCGCATCCGGGTCCAGGATTATATGTGGAAAAGATGGGTGCGCGCGAGAAACTACTGCAGTGTGAAAGTCCATCCTGTCAGGTGGTTTAGCGATGAAATTGAGCGATGGGTGGCATTTCGCTTACCATATGATGCCACGCAGCAAGCCATCATTGTGTCCAAAGGCGAACAACCCACCTCGCACTTTCACCATACGTTTCAGTGCTGTGATGTGAAGTTGAGCCGCTTCATAGTCTCCAAGAAGATTCTGAAACAGTTGGCGTGGGTTATTCCACGGGCAGACGTGCTCATACCTCGAGATTTGCCAAAGTCAACACAGTGCCCACCACCTCATCAGATATATATCCTCCTGACGTCGCAAGTTTGCAGTTGACGGCCTTGATTGCTTCATTCTTGTGCTCTAGTTTGCAAACTCTCAAGTCAGTGAGATCATTGGCCAGCATGCCATATAGTGCCCAGCTTGCCAGAGTTGCGTGCATCAAGCCAGCATCATTCGAGATGAATGACTTCCACGTGTTTTGGGCATCGGTGGCGACGGCATTGCTCTTGGGTGCGCTCTTGTCTGTCTTTAGTGTCAGCTGATGGCCCCTTGACTCCAGATTTCGGTCTCTTAGTCGGACAACGTGTGTCGACTCTACATACACAATTGAAACAGCGCACCCAGCTTTGGAGTTCCAGGTATGGGTAAAGCCTTGAAAGGGTCTATCCGATCATCATGCAGGCCGCAATTCAGCACTGGCCTTGCTTCCATTGTTTTATTCATGTCGTTTCTCTTGTCTTTGCCATCTTCCCCAGCTTTGGAAGATGTCCTTGGTTCCGACCTATCTCTAAGGTCGTTCGGTCTTGCTGCACCCTTCTCTTTTGATGTCCGTACATCTTCTCTCTCTCTGCTAGTGGCCTTCTTTTTCTTGATCCGAGGTTCGCATATCCGGAATCGGTTCTTTAGCTTCTTCTTCGCCATGGCCGTGCTGATCGAAGAGTGTTGAGACGGGTTGATCTGCGGTCCAGCCATCTTCATATCGAAGTGATTGCGCATCACCAGCCGCCGGATCATGCATCGTTCCGCCCCAGCTGGGTTATATGGCTTATCCGTCGTTACAAAGAATTCATACTCGCGCTCCATGATTTTCGTGAGCCTTGTCGATGGGTCTGATGTGAGGGGTACGTCTGTACGTGAAAATCAGAGCTGCAGTGCTTGGCTACGCAATCATAGAAAAGTGTCTTGCGTCGAAATTGAGAGACTCTGCCTGGGCGTTTGAGATATCTCCTGTATATCCAATGTGTTACTTCGGCCTCCAACTACCACACCTCGTCATGTGCAACCATAAGCTACCTCATCGGCCGAAGCAGCGACCTATGCCCGGAGATCAGCTCGCGTAAGTGGCATCGAGTGTATGGGAAGTCATGTTGGCTGGCTTATATAAGACCTATGCTGATTACGGCAGCGGGGTTGACATGCGAGGCACCGTGCCATTGGACAACAGCAACACAAGGCGTGCGCCTCATACGCGATAAGCCTCGGGCTTTCCGCGGATGTTTGAGGCGACTGAAAGGGAAACGCGGGGGGCCAAAACTCGTATTCTGGTAGCGACACGCATGGGCGAATAATTCATGCAGCCCTACAGCGCCTCAGGAATGATGGCTGCTGCACTTCGGGGATATCTCTACTCTACATACACAACGCCTCTACAACCCCGAGTTGAATGCCACACCTTCAACGCCAACAGCCTATCCGAGAGTCACTTCCATATTTATTTGCCCTTGTCCTCTCTCAGACTAACGATCTGATTGAGCACAATCTTGTCCTCTGTAGAATCGATATCGACACAGAAATAAGCAGTGCGCAGTGCCTGGAAGCGCACAAGAGCGTCCGAAGATCCGCTCAGATCCAGTGAAGTCTCGCTGATGAGGTCCTTGATACCCCGCTCGATGACTGCCTTATCATGGATGATTTCGGAGTTGGGGTTGAGATCATCAGCCCAGCCGCCTGTCTTCCAGTCCAGTGTGTTGGGTGACTCGGTCTTGAAGAGCGAATTGTACAGACGTGCTGTGACGGGAACGGCTGTTGCGGCGTCCACCCATTGAACGTAGGCTTTCGGCTTCTCAGTACCAGGCACCTTGACAGCCTTGATCTCAGACACGTTGCCGCTCTCGTCCTTGGAGAAAGATGTCGCACGAATCGCGAAGGGGACGTTGTATAGACCCACGGCCTTATTTGGCGCCAGACGGAAGTAATCGGCGCTGTCCTCCTCTCTGAAGTCGCTGCGATCGATGTAAACGGCGCTACCAATCTTCACCTTGCGCTCACCAGGTATCGTGCCCTTTGGATCGTATGGTACTGTGATCTCTTGTTCGTCTTCGGTCGCAAAGTCTTCGATGACTACTTTGATGGGGTCGAGCACCATCATCTGACGCGGTACGGTTCGCTCGAGATGTTTGCGGATCGAAGCTTCGAAGCGTGGCGGCTCAATTTCGGAAAGCGCATCCGTGACGCCGAGCTCGTCCACGAAGTTGAGCATGGCCTTGGCTGGAATACCGCGACGGCGCAAAGCCACCATGGTGAAGAGTCGGGGGTCGTCCCATCCTCGTACTACGCCAGGTATTTTCTTCGTCTCGACTGTGCCGTCCGCGTTCTTCTTCTCGACGGTTGTGCCTTCGACGAGCTGGAGGATGCGTCGCTTCGAGAGGATCGTGCCGCCAACGCTTAGGCGTCCGAATCTGCGCAACGTTAATATGAGCGATTCTTAGGGGGGAAGCCGTTACTTACTCTCGCTGCATTGGTCCCTTCTCCTCCGACTTGGGCACTTTCATGTCCAATTGCTCCAGTAGCCAGTCGTAAGAGATACGCGACTGGCGGAACTCGACTGTACACAACGAATGGCTAATTCCCTCAAGAGCATCGCAAATGCAGTGGGTGAAGTCGTAGGTAGGGTAGATTCTCCACTTGTCGCCAGTTCGGTGGTGGTGGTTCTCCTTGACAACGCGGTAGGCGGGCAGGTCCCACATCTGCGGGTTGCCCTCATCTGGGTCCGTCAACTTCTGCTTCATGCGCAAGAAAGCCTCTCCAGCCTGGTATTTGCCATCGCGCATCGCCCGGAATTCGGTGAGGGACTCTTCGATCGGTCGCGTGCGGTGTGCGCAGCCATAGCGCTTGCCTCTGTTGTCGGGTCCTCCGCGCTGGTTATTGATTTCCTCGCCTGCGTCATAGTCAGTACTGCGCAGATGCACATAGATATGCAGACCTACGTGAGCAGTGGCACACATAGGCGCCGTCCTTCTTGATAAGCTGCTCTGCAAGCTCGTACAGCTTGTCAAAGTTGTCGCTGCTGTATGTAATCTTCCACGGCTCGAAGCCTAGCCACTTGACGATATCCAGGATGGCCGTGAAGTAGATCTCGTCCTCCTTCTCCGGGTTGGTGTCGTCGTATCGTAGGTAGCACTTGCCATTGTGATGCTTTGCGAAGCCAAAGTCGACGGCGATGGCCTTGGCGTGACCGATGTGGAGGAAGCCGTTTGGTTCGGGAGGGAATCGGGTTCTGACTTCTGACACGGGCTTCTCTTCGTAGATGCGCTTCAGCCAGCCCTCAGAGAAGATGCTCGTCGGTTCGCTCTTTGTGCTGGGCTTGGCCTGCTCTTTGGGTCGGAGGGCATGCTCGGCCTTCTTGGCCTTTGCTGCTGCTTTCTTCGCCGCCTTCTCGAGCGCACGCTTCGAAGGGCCCTTCTCCTCCTCAGCGGCCGGTGGGGCGGGAGCTGTAGGTTCCGCCATGTCTGCGCGACGTCAGTACACGTGTCATCGAAGGTGCGTCGTGCAGGATGTACACGTGACTTTACAGCAGAAAGAAGACGCGTCGAGTTCGTTACTTACCAGGAAAGTGTCGATGTTGCGGAGCTCGTGTGCTGCGGGAGGGGCTCTATCAATAACTTTGGAGGGGCATTGACTCAAACGCGCTACACCAGCCACACTCCTGACGCCACACTTAACACGGCATCTCAACTTTCCCCACCTGCTGCCCTTCCATCACACACGCTGGACCACATAATCCCCGAATCGTGATCGGATGCGCTTCAATCGAATCTCTAGTCCACATGGCTGTCGGCGACCGCAAAAGCTTTATTTGGCGTGCATCAGGAACCTGATACCTTCACGACACCGTCTTTACAACCAGGCTTATCAACCATGTAGCAGTCGAGCATGTCAAAAGCATAACGAACGTACTATGACTGTCTCGTAATGACACAGTTGCAGTTATGCTACAGCCTTGAATTGTTGAGACATGGAATGCACTACGAAATCAGACCTTGGAAACAACACAAAGCAGATTCAGAGCTTGGACACGAATCCGGCAACATGATATCCAGGATTGACATGGAAATACTCTAGTGGTAACTATGGATTCGATTCGTGTACAACTAACTTCATCTCCGATAGTGTCACCAGCTTCAACATGCAATTTCGCCCCTTCCAAAGCATCGTCAACTCTGCAGGTCGAAAATGCCGTCCTTCGGTATTGACACGAGGCATGGAAGGTGCACCTGGAGCTATGTCAACTTCAATCTCAAGACGTGAAACCTGTAAAACAGCAAAACTCAGCGACCAACATGCCACTCTTGGTGCATACCCGATCATTAACTATTTCTCACGACACATGCTCAACGCGCGCCAATCCCTATATCGCTCCTTGTTTCGCACACACTTTCCTACCCAACGAATAGCATCAAAATTTCCATCGATGGTTACCACAAGAAACAAAAACTATACCTACGACAACGTCCCCCAGGACCAAGGCGGAATGGGGGCAACAACAGAGTCACTCGATAATCGGCGAGCAAGACAGGCGCGTCTTCTCCTTTCGAAACACTACGAGCCCGTCATCTCTGAGGTACTCAACGAAGAAATACCTAAGTACAAGAATGGCACTACCATCAGTGCAACAGACCGTGTGAAGTATATACGAGAATGCGCACGAATACTCGCTTCAGAACCGCCTATACTGCTAGCGGCAGTCGACGGCGACTTGGTGCGCCGCATGCGGACTGATCCTGATTTGAAGCGAGAATACGACCTGATCTGCAAGAATGCAGCAAAGCAGCCGTCCATATACATACACCAATTCGCAGACCTGAATGGCATTCCACCTACTCCTAACCAAATGCTTATCATCTGCAATTGGATAGCCGACTACATAGCCGATAATCTGGCAGAAGGCAAAGCTTCAGAGCACTTCTGGCAGATAGACAACGTCTCTCCGGGAAGACCGCTGATTAACCAGCAAAACTCTGCCAAAGGCCACCGCAAGTATCTCTACACGACACATTCCAGTCGATCAAAGAAGCGTATCGGTACCCTCGACCTTTTCTGTCAAGGTACCCAGAAACGTTGGCAGGAGACGCCAGCATCACTACGCGATACACCCCTTCGATATCCTCTTGGGGAGTGTGGATATTCTGAAAACTCAGAAAATCGTCTGAAAGAGCACCGCCAACGGGAGTCATCCAACTACATAATGAACCTAGTCGAGGACATATCCACCCACCTCCACAACATCGGCATGTTTGAACAACACTTCACGATGCACCAGTATATTGTCTATCTCATCGACCGACGGGAACAAGTAGAGATTGCGGAGATCTTTTGCTCCGCATTACTTCGAGTGTGGGTGAGTAGCGGCGGTGGTTTCAACTCGTACCCTGCTGGGCTCAGCGTCAACTCTTCGAAGAAGGTCAGCAATATTGACTGGGCTTTGTCCGAGATGAACACCACCTTGCACTCCCCTATCACCAAAAACATGAGGATGCAGCAGCTCAGAGCAGATGAATACCGACAAGCACTGGAGTGGACTAATGACAACACTGTAGACTCAGAGACGAGAGAGTCTGCAAGCCAGGAAGAAGAGTGCATGTAAGTTGAACTATTGAAAGGCTCAGATCAGGTACTGACGTAGCGATTCTAGTGCTCATCTCTCACAGCTGTCAATGTAAACCCACTACCCTAGACCATGACTGCTATATTCTTATACGCTTTTCAATACTGAACGCAGCCAAGTCGTGCGAATTCGAATTATTTCCTGCTCCAAATATCACGCTGTCAATTCTGTTGTGCCGCAAGTGATGTTCCAAGGTCGCCCCCCTTCGAGCCCCATAATCCCACATCACAGTGACCTGTATGGCCACTCTTTCATATCAAACCAGAAAGAGCGTATCTCGCTACCAAACACGATGACCGGGTGCAATGCAGGCAAATCTGCAACGTCGCTTCTCGAAGGCCACTATTTCAACCTCCTGCATTAACCCGAGTGAATGTCATAGCATCGCCACATTACCGAAAATCAACCATGTCTATGTAAGTCATCAAATTTAGTTTTGCGGAAGACACAGCATTCTTTTGAGTCTATCTTGAAGATGTAGAGCACTGCGGAGGTGTTCGCAATATCCAATTGCAAAAGTCGATTTTCCACACTGTAGATATTATAGCCATACAGTTATCTAGAGCAAATCTACATTGCACATCAGATAAAAACTAACAACATCCAGAACATTCGAACACCCCCGCTCCTACCCTGCCGCCCTGCTCAAGAAGCGCCACTCCCTCCCCTCCCATCTCCACATCTTCGTCGAACGACCAAGCCGACATGCAATACGCTCATCACGAGACTTCAACTACGATGCCCTTAACAAGTCCAGCATCGAAGCCCATTTCCAGCGCAACGTCGCATCGAGCTTTATCTCATTGTACGAGAGCAAAGCCACTGCCTCGAGCAAATATCCTTACACGGATAAAGTGGGACAAAAGCCGCGGTCATTCGATGCCGCTGAAATGGCTATCCACACCAGTGGGCTGACAGCGGCATGGGTGACCGTAGACAAAGACGTCCGTCTTCCGGTATGGTTTGACAAGAACAGACAAGAGTCCGACAACGCAGACGACGAAGAGGTATTGTGGTTTTGCCTCCAAGAGCTGAAAGCAGTACTACAAGTCGATGAGAAGCTTGGGGAGAAGGACGAGTGGCTTGCCTGCGGGTTCATCCCCGAAAGTAGGGTTGTCACTCGTCACGATTCATCGAATGAGGAGTACCCAGAGGGGGTGGTCAACGACAAGGAAATAGAAGAGGCTTATAGACAGGCTCGCCGCGATCGCCAACGCATCGAAGGGGAGAGGCTTCAAGTCGACGTGCCGGAATCTGAGCACAGACTCAAGAAGACGCTTTCTTCGGGGTTCTTGAAAGCCCCTCAGATCCCCAGCCGGAAAAGCTCTCTTGCCTCGTTGGATGGCAAAGCTGTGAGCCAGACCAAGAAGATAGCTACTGGGACTTCAAAGCTTCGCGTAGAGACGCGCGACGTGTCAGTCTCGCTGACGAATGCGGATCCCCGGCGGGCGGCGTCACTGATGAAATATGCGTTGTTGCTCGCGCATGAAAAGAGGTTTGAAGCAGAAGAGTCGTGGCTTTCGGAGACGACTCGTTTAGCTGGGGGTGTAGATCGAGGGGATAGTACGAGGACGATCGATGATGGTACTCGTAAAGAGAGACGAAGCGGGTTTGTGGACCGCGATAATGACGCATACCTGACGCCGCCGGAGTCACCAATTGCCTCATCTGGACAAAGGGGCATGCACGAGCAAAGAGGCCGTGAACGTGCTGACAATCCAGTTTCGCGGTACGAAATCGCTCGACAAGTTGATGAACGGTCAGTCCAGGAAAGGGGAAGACGTATGCGTCGCTCTGCCGCTCCATCGCCCTCGCAGTCCCTGCTGGGACACCATCTCGAAGGAGGCAATGCGTCTTCGCTTCGACCCCGTCTTTCGCGCCGTGAGCTCCTTTTGGAGCTACAATCAGACGAAGACTCTGTACTACGAGAGTACGCAAGAGTCAGTCTGCAGGACCCCTCTGCGCACCACCACACCCGGCACGACACGCCTAATGGCGCAAGGTCAACATCGACGGTCCCGGGAACCCAGCCACCACCCGACCACACCGCCCACGCTGCAGGTAACGATGAATTTGATCCACCAGATCCATCGGTCTACTCCGTCATGTCTTCTCTCTCCTCCTTGTCCGACTTGGCGCATGCTACCATCGAGGAGGCCACGTACGCTACCGTCTATCCCGGCTCCCATGTTAGGGAGGTTGAGATACGGCGTAGGAATCCGGGGTCGTCCTCTGCGGAGGCGAAGTCAAGCGAGGAGGAGGAGAGAGGACGGAGTAGAAATGGACGGCAACGGCGACGACCCTCGGAAGGACGAGTTTCGGGTGTAGCCGAAGAGGTACCAGCGGAAGAGGATGTAGAGCCTTTTCCTACTTTTGATCCTAAGGTACCGGGTCACATAGAGCTTTCACGGTCTGGAAGCACTGTCTCTGTGGTTGCCGTTGTCCCTTCTGCATCAACACCAACACCGATACCTCCACCAGTGGTCTTGAAATCCGAGTCTTTCTTTGCCAGAAGGAAGAAACGGTTCGAAAAGGGCAAAGACGTTTCTGAGCGTTTAGCAGAGGTACGGGAAAGTCCGGCTGCTCAGAAACCAAAGGTCATGAAGGATCTGTTGGAGTTTGCTGGGTGGAGGTCTGGTGATAAGAAAGATGGAGCGAAGTGAATAGAATCAGGAATGACTTGTAGGAAAAGAGGTGAGTTTCATGCCGAGACGAGCTGTTATGTTGGAGTTCGCTAACGGATACACGGATCAGCGAAAGATGAAGATGCAGGTCGAGGAACAGAAGAGCGTCCCGCCATCGCCAAACCACAACATCCACGAAGCATCCACTCCCACTTGCACCTGGAACATCATCTTACCAAAACGTCGTGGTGGTGAGACGCCCGTCCCCAGTTTTCTCGTAGGTTTTGCACTCGGACAACCCAACCGCCACCAACGAAACCACCACTCTACCCGCCTATCCGCATCCTACGATCCCCAACCCACATTCCCACCCCACAACAATTCGCACCGTTACCCACCCCTGATCCTATACCCGCGCATCCCACTGCATCCGTCCTAGCTCGTCCCCATCCCATTCCCAATGCAAACCCCTGCCTTACCCGATTTACCCGGAAGCAGTAAAACGCACGGATCCGCACGACCCAATCGAGCAATGACGTGCCGAAAGCAGTGCTGGCGAAAGTTGGCAGCGAGGCATTGGACGCGCACGTTCGGCGCCGGGGGCAATGCAGAGAAAAGTTGGCACCGTGTTCCATGGTGGACTTATGAGTTACTGGATTAGGCATCTAGAGAAGATGACGACGGGGATGACGGTGGTTGTGACGTTGGAGGTGTCGTGGCGTCGAGGGTAATTACATTGTGGTGGACAATGCGTGCGAGAGATGGTGCAGGTGGATGAGGGCGGAAGGATTGCGCGGTGTGGTGATTGGGTGCGGAGCAACATTAAAACACCATCATCGATGTATTTGCAGCATCGAGAATTCTGGATATCATGTCAGGTGTTTGTTGTTTGGGGGATTACAAGTTCACTGGTGATGAATTGCTTATTCACATGCTACTTCGTGTATTACTATGGATGCATGAGACGTGGTGCTCACAATAGGCCCGACCTTGCCTGCCTGAATTCCCCAAAGGACCGTCTTCGTGTGAAGACACCCCATCGCTGCTGCCTGCGCATGTACTGTACTTGCACCTTTACGAGCGGCTTTGTGGGCAGCTGCAGGCAGCTGTAGTCGCGATCTTTGGTGTACGACGATGACAGATTCTAGCCCCAGTGAGGTGCATCATGGTGGCTCCTGCGTTGTCGGTTGTCAAGATGATCGGACCGTGGCGGCGGCTATGAGAAATCGATATGGTGACCATGCCCTATAACGGGACTGGTTATTGTTCGGAAGGATACTCCCTCGGAGCTGTTCATCCAGGTTGTGGGCTAGCCATGCCACCCTGGTATGCACTGGCAAAGTCTAGTTGTCCCAGTTGGCCATTAATCTGGTCAATTTCTTTGTTCAGATCTTCCACATTCTGCGCCAAACTGGATACTTCGTCGAATCTTCGGTGTTTGGTGGCATCAGCGACCATTTCAGAGACTATGAACTTCTGTTCCTCAAGTACGATCAATCGTTCTTTGAGCTCTTTCTCTTCTGACTCCATTGCGGAGACCTCGCTGCTGCTCACGACACTGCCAGTGGAGCGGTCGTTGTACTTGATAGAGGCAAGGGCGCCGACTCCGTTTGGTCGACCTTGCGGGGCTGCATGCTTGAGAATCTTTGGTAACGCTCTGAGCGGTAGCATGTGTAAGCTCAAGAAACTGTACGCTTGTTGATATACCGCTCTCTGTAGCTTCTGCTGTGTCGACGAATCAGTGGGAAGGTCGCGTATTCGTTTCGCTGCGACATCGAATTGTGCAAACCCGTCCATTAATCGTTTGCGCACCTTTGTCGCGTCAGTCAACTGCTGCGGCGTGGGTGACTTGTCTGGGTCTTGCAAGGCCTGCAGGAGCTTGTGGAATCGTGGGAGGAGTAATCGGATGCCACGTTCAAATTGCGCAAGGTTCTCGTATGCACGCTGGTCCTTTGGCTTGTCGGCCAGCTCGCGCTCAAAGTCGCCTCTAGCGAACAACGTGTGCTGGCAGTCTTTGCACATGCGCACGTCAACACTCATCTGCGCAGCATCTTTTTCAGTCGTCTGCGTGCTAGCAACGTTGAGACCTATCTCCGAGGAGCAGCCAGTCTTGGGATCGCTGCACACGACGCGTCCGCACATGCGACAATGTGATCTTCTGAATGTGTATGTCGAGAACTCCTGCTGGCAGAAGGGACAGTTGGGAACTTTGGCGTCTTCCTCCCACGTGATTATTGACTGCTCCAGAGTCTTGCGTTGGTTCTTTACGCCCGGTAGTGAGAACCAGCTCCCTGCAGTCTGCGTTTCTTCTATCGAAGGCGGGTTTGCGAGAAGTTGCGTCAACTTGGTAAGACGCTTTTCGAGCCGGCTGACTTCCATGCGTTCTCTGTCGACACGTTTCCGTCTGATCTTGGCGAATTCGTCGAAGTGGTCGCGCTCGAAGCCGTGATGATCGTTGTACCCGTCTCTCGACTTGTAGCACGTCTCGCACACGCGGCACCAGACGCCTCGGACAGGGTCGTGCTTAGCCTGCCGCGAGAGCTTCATCTGGTACATGGTGTGTTCCTCGCAGAACAGCCTGCCACACTGTCTGCAGTTGACTGCTGGCTGACTTCCGCCTAGCGCCATTTGTGAAGCTGTGACGGGCCTCGCGCACATGGGGTCTGAGCAGACATCGCGGTAGCCAGGCCTCTGCCAATGTGATCGCGTGACTTCCTCCTCGGGGTCTCGGCGGACGGGTGCGGGTTCGTGGGGAACGTGGGCGGTCGAACTGCTCGCGGAGTGGGAGATTTGGGGTGGCGACGGGACATCGTTGGATTCGAAGACGTCGAGTCCCTTCAGCTTCTGGTTGAGCACGGCGAGCGGCTGGAACTTCTTGGCCTTGTGCATCTGGGCCTCGAACCAGTTCTTGACCTCATCCTGCTCCTCCACGACCAGGTTCTGGTGGTTGTCGTCGAGATGTCTACTACTGGTCAGGGCTAACATACTGGGCGGCTACGAGGCGGCGGTACCTGTTCAGTTGTAGTAATGTTACCTGCTACGTCAGACGACTGTTCTTGCTGCAGCAGGTGCTATGAACCCACCATTTCCTCATTGCATATCGGGCACACGAGTCTGCTGGAGGCACTCGCCGCGGCATTCTCGCTCGGGCCCACCAGGACCTTGCTGCCGATATCCTCGCGCGTCTCTGCAGTGCTGGCGGGGCTGTTGGAGGCCTGCGAGTTGAGCGAGACGGAGCTCTCAGAGGGCGAGAGCAGGCTCGCGTTGCGGCGGTGGGCGGCTGCAGGCTGCGGAGGTGCAGCGGCGGGCGACAGGTTCCTCCCGCTGCCGAGTACGCGGCCGCCGCCCAGGGACCTGCGCGAGGTCATATTCGGGAGTGTCTGCTGGAGTCGTGAAGGTACATGGGCCGGCATGGGTAGGCTAGGGCGTGGGTCTTGGGCGCGCCGTTGCAAGGGCCGCTAGGGATGCGCTGCAGGACCACATGCCGGCATCTTGGGAACGCGTCCCCGTCCCGCAGTCGCACCATCCAGGGAGACATGGCTAGTGCCAGCGAGGGAACCATTATTGCGTGATTGCAAAGTGCATGCGATAAGAAAACTCTACAGCCCAGCCAGCCCGGCCGACGTCCTCAGCACGGCCTTGGCAATGACGCGGAATCGAGACATGGCTATCTCCGCGCTGCATGCTCCATCTCCGCAACACTCTCCGCACCATGAAAGGCCCCTACCCCGAGATCCAGGGCGGCGGCTCTCTGATTCTCGCATGGCAGATCCGCAATAAGCGCGTCCTGGTCGTCGGCGGCGGCGAGGTACGTCTACACCCCCAGGCCCCTTGCAAAGTATTGACAGTTGACAAAAGTCTAGGTCGCCGCTGGTCGCATCGTCAATGTGCTCAATGCCGACGCCAAAATCACCCTCGTCTCCCCGCGCGACGGCCTCAACGAAGAAGTCGCCTACCGGATAGAACAGGGCCAGGTCGACTACATCGATCGCAAGTTTGAGCCCCAAGACCTCGATGGCGTCGACATGGTCCTGACGGCCGTCGACGATCCGGAGGCCTCGTCGCAGATCTACAAGCTATGCAAGGAGAGGCGGATAGCAGCCAACATTGCCGATGTCCCGCCCGAGTGCGACTTCTACTTTGGCAGCGTGCATCGCGATGGGCCGCTCCAGATTATGGTCAGCACAAACGGCAATGGCCCCAAGCTGGCCAACATCGTCAGGAGGCAGATAGCAGCTGGGCTACCTTACAATATCGGCAACGCTGTGCAAAGAGTCGGCATGCTGCGGAGGAAGCTGCGAAAGGTCGCTCCGAACATTGAGGAGGGCCCAAAGCGGATGCAGTGGTATGTTACCTACATCGCATCCGGAAGGTACTCGCTGACTCAGCCCATGCAGGATGTCCAAGGTGTGCGAACAATACTCGCTCGACGACCTCTGCGCCATGACCGAGGAGGACATGGAGATGCTCCTCGGTTTCTACAGACCCGGAACCGTGCCGACGCTCGAAGAAGTACGACTGCAGGAAGCTGACGGAGCGTACGACGGGCCTTTCTTGATCTGATTGCATATGGATTCGGCGTTGGGTAGACAGCATACAGTAGGTATGAGCGGGAGTTGCGGCGACGCTATCAAATTCTTGTATATCAATTGTACACTCTCCTACGCTCTCACCTACCTCCTAGAAGTCTACATTGCCTGGGGATATCATCACTTTGCTTTTTTGTACTAATGCAGGCGGCAGCGCACCTGTTCGGTTTCCAGCTGGTCTGAGGTGCCCCAGTGGCTCCTTCCTCGTCCCATCTCCTCCGGTCCTGTCAGCCAATCAGGATGGGTTGGCCCAAGCGTCTTCTTCCCGGCACTTGCCTGTTGAATGCCTCCCTCACCACATCCTGCAGACTACATCACATCAACACTGCCGTTTCTGCGCTCTATCACCTAGATGTCGGCGTTAGAGAACAATATGGATCTTGCGCAGCGACCACCTTACGACACCGTCGATTTCAAGGCCCTCACCAAGAGCGACAAGGTATTCAAACA